AGAGAGAGAGAGAGAGAGAGAGAGAGAGAGAGAGAGAGAGAGAGAGAGAGAGAGAGAGAGAGAGAGAGAGAGAGAGAGAGAGAGAGAAGAGAGTTACCTACCTAGATGAGGCTGCTGGTAAGAGAGAGAGAGAGTGAGCCAGGGAGAGAAGAGAGTTACCTACCTATATGAGGATGCTGGTATTGGGTTGCTGAACTCTGCACTGTTGAGCGCTTGGTGACTGGAACTCCGAAACTGTTTAATATGATAATTTGTTGGAATTTCTAAGCTGCGCATATCTGGACTTTGCCTCTCTGGTCTCCAGTGTGGATTTCGTGTGATCTCTCAATGTGTGTGTGAGCTCAAGGTGTCGGGCAGTGAGGCTCAATTCAATATATTGAGACTCAAAGCAATTCCTGACTCTCTATCCGGTTCCATATATTTATTTATTAATTTTATTTAGGGGCCATGCCAAGCTTCTCTGTATTGTTCCGATTTTAACAGACAACCTGAAGAACACCACCTCCATTTATCCAGCTGACGACTTGTGTTCTGCTGAAGCTATGTGACCATGTTTGTACTCGACCAACTAATTGTAATATCAAGCGCTTCCCAGGGCATTGTATGTGACTCATGTGAATGCTCACCTGAGATTTTGGAAGTATGGTTTTACGGTTTACCCCCCAACTGCACCCAGTCCTCCACGCTACAATATTCTTCCACGTTGACTTTTCTCATACCTCTGGAGTCTGAACTCGAAGCAGGTCTTGGACCTGTATCTCATCCAACTGGAGGACTCGCATTTCATTGGCCAGCAGCAAATCATGCCATGATAACCAACTAAGCGCGCACTCACACTTGGGAGTTCCTCAACTGTAGCCAGTCACGACTAAGGTCATATTCAGTCCAGGGAAGACCAAATGCGAGTATGCCCTAATTATGTTTTCATTTCTTTCCCTTGGCTGCCTTTCTCTGTAGTTACGGCCACTGCATTCCGCTCTTGAATCTTGGGAGCGATGCTGCTTTTCTCATCATCAGCATCGATCCGTGGGTGCGAAACCCCAAATGACGACAATGCACAAGCCTTAGCTGCCTTACACTTTGACAACGGGCAAGCATTGGCAACCTCTCATCTAGTCTCTTTCTGACTTGTGCATGTTGCCTTCTCACAATTTCTGTTGCTTTGCTTCCGCTTCCACGCAATGGCACAATTATAGGTACATCGTCACACTGGCCAACAACTCATAGGCAGCCCCAAATTGGAGGGCCAGATGGAGGGAGATTGGGTTTCAGACACGCATGCAAAGTGCAGGCGCACGCGTGCGAACAACAGAGAGACAAACAGAAGGACGGAAGGACGGAAGAACGGAGGACGGACGGACGGACGGACGAACGCACACACAGACAGATGCACAAACGGACATACAAAGATTTGAATGCATCCACCATCAGTATCCTCAGAGAACCGACGAATGAAATTCATCATGACAATCGACCACACTCTTCCACGGAGAACATCGATGGCACTGTGGGACTGCATGACTGCTACTCCATTTCCTGCACGGGGTGCTGAAGCAGACTGTTTCGTCAGGCTTTCACCGACTCATCAGGAGGTTGAACCTCGACAATCTGGCTGGAAAGCTCATGTCCCAGTAAACTTGCATTGCTGAGCACGTAAATCAGAAACCTATTTACCCCAGCAATTGAGGCAGGTCCTATAATGTCACAGCCGGCAAGACGGGAGGAGGGTCAGGGGACTGCGTGAAGTGACATGGAGAACGGCAGGGTAACGGTAGGAAGGAAGGCAACAACGTGGGAGAAGAACAGACGGGAGAGGGAAGGAAAGGGAAAGGGAGGCTTGGAATGAAAGGCAAGGGCGAGAAACGAGCGGAGAAGGGAAGTGAAACGAGGCAAAAAAAAAAAAAGAGGCAATTTTAACAGGAAGAGGGGAAACGAAAGAAAAGAAGCAGAGGCAAGTGCTGTGCAAATTCCAAGGGAACAAAAACACTAGAAAAAAGACTTACCTTGTCTACTCTCCTTGTTGATATCTTCCAGTCATTCAGCAGCATGAAACCCTGTTGCACCCAGCATATAATAGCATGAAAAAATAGGAAATCCACAAGCTCCACACATGGTGACAAATCATTGTGCACTTTTAATTGTCCATGTCAATACTGGTACGTAAGTAGTGACAGGTGCTCGAACAGCAAAAAATTGGGCTTTGCACCAGTGCAAACGGTGAGATAACCAAAATTAACTGCATGTCTTTTAAGTAAGTTTTTACTCCATGTCTTCCAAATGAAGGGGAGATAAATTCTTTTTTTTCTGCAGGCTAATGCGACAAAAGTGCAAAGAATGAAAAGACGTGAGTTGGGTTGTCTAGGCTCAAATAAAATTTCACTAAGGAATCATGCCAATAAGATTACAAAATAACAAAAAAGTAAAAGTGACAAAGATCCAAGGAATAATGACCTCTTTGAAGTTTCAACATACATTTCCTGAGTACATTTGATTTCAATTTCAAATGAATCTCTTTTTTTTTCAACATTTTTTTTTTTTTTTTTTTTGGCCCGGCCGGGCAAGTGGTCCCAGCCTCCCAGGCCACTCTGGTAGCCTAGATCATTAGGGGTTTGGACTGCATGATTTTTTTTTTCCTTGTGTTGGGTTAGCCCGGTTAACCCAGTTAAGTTGTTATCCCGAAAACAAGAGAGGAGATTGATGCAAAGGAGTTACGGCTCAGAGTTATGCCAGAGACACATGCAAGGACCAGTAGCTTGACATTATTATGGAATAATAATAAAATAACGAGTAATTGACTTTGACCCAGTCATTGTAGCTGAAAGGAAGACACACACGTAAATGTTTTTTTTTTTTTTTTTTTTTTTTTTAAATTACCAAGAAATAGGGCCTTATGGTCCCGACTCCTTCCATTCTGGGGAGCGACAGTCCGGTTCCTGTTCCACCGGCAAGTCAAGGCATGATACATCACAGCAACCAACTCACGCTTCCTCCCGTCTGGCCGGAGGACCCCTGAACAGCATTGATTGCTCCACGTTGGGTGGAGGATTGACTGTCAGCTTGCCCAGAGACGCTCTTCCTTCTCAGATCTACTGTTGCAGTTCTGTCAGATTTGTCTGTTATACCTAGAAAGAGCTCCTCCCGTGCTGTTGCCCACTCATGCTGTCCCTCGTCCCCACCCCACCCTTACTTGCTGTGATTTCCTTAGATCCAGCTACTCCCCCATCCTCTGAGTTCTGTTGAACCCTAAACCCTAAACCCTAAACCCTACCCTTGTTTGGATGCTTTAGATAATAACTTTTCCCCCTTGCTTCCGCC